TCTGAGGTCCCTTCCAACCTTCGGCATTCTATGATTCTATGATTCTATGATTTATTTTAAGTGTTAAAATAGGCAAAAGCAAAAAACTTAAAATAAGGCCAAGGGATCCCAAGGAGGTTCCTATTTCTGTGGCAGTCTTGGTGAGCAGCTGCATGTTCTTGCTTTCAGGTCCCAGTCCGTGGTGGAAGCTGGCACGCTGAAACACGAAGACTCGGGGGAAAACGAGAACACCCAGCCGCTCTTGGCCCTGGATTGAGCTCCAAAGCCCTGAGCACCCACAGCTACATGAAGAGACTTCCACGGTACCAGAAACTCACAGGGCACGCAACACACTTTGCACACACACACACATGCACACTCGTCTTGCTTGGAAACTCGTCCTCCTTCGTATTTCTAGACTGAGTRACAACTGCCATCAGCCATCTATCTACGCAGTCAAGGCTGAAAAAATGGAGACACTTCTGTTGACGCTGGAAGCAAAGCAGGAGTCTATCCATAAACAAAGAAATTGGTTCTTCATTTATTTTTTTCTGATTTATGGCATTGAAATACGGGAAATGATGGGAATGCATTTTTTGCTTAAAGAAACCAGTGGGACAGTAGAGGTTTTCCTGAGACCTGCAGCAGGGATGATCAGTTTTACAGAAGCTAAGGTTAAATGCATTTTAAAGAAAAGCATCCAAATTAAGTTGTGCTCTGTAATCAGCAGTTAAATGCAGTGCAGAGGGCAGAAATAACAGCATCTCCAGTGTGCTTTACTTTTATGGAAAGATTTGGGCTTCCTTTTTAATAATAGCGACAGAAATGCCAACATAAGGCCATTCAACAAAGCACTCTCTGATTGCATAATACAATCCGCTTATAGGGGTCACTTCCTTCAGGACCCAGCAAAAATTATTCTTGACTTTTGAAGCCCTTATAAAACTGTCAGCTAAATGTAATGAGCTGTGTCGGCAGCAGACACACACAATTTGAAATGCAATTATTTAATTTTAACGATGTGTTTTTCCACAGGCGACTCTGCAGCCTGTTAGTAAGACGTGTGTGTGCATGTGTGTCTGTGGGTGTGTGCGCGCGCGTGTGAAGGGGGGGGTTGTAGGGAGACTCATTGGACACACTCATCGGTGATTAATGGTTCAATCCAGATTGTTTCATTTAGGTCACAATTGCAACTGAAAGCTCCACAGAGCCATTTAAACCTCTTCCCTCCTGTAGTCAGGGGAAGGTGTAGCCAGAGGGGAAAGCTGATTGCAGATGGGGGCTACGGTTAAAACGAAAAAAGAAAACTTAGAATTAATTATTTAGTACAAGCTTCTGCTAGAAAGAAATAYGAAAGCAAATACGAAAGAATGGAAGAACTGAAATGCCAAAGATCAGTTTGTTATTTCTCTATTTGCTCTACCTGCAAAAGGAGTCCCATCTCTTCATTGAAATGGAAACCAGATGAAAGAAATAAAAGAAAAACTGTTATCAAAATGCATGTGCAATGACTTTATTTCCTAAAATAGTTAAAAATACTGTACATACCTTTTTTGCCTTCAATTTGTCATACACTGGCAATCATTAGAGCAAGAAGTTGGCATCAACATGTCAAAGGAAGTAGTGTAAACCCCCCCMCACACCCACCTATATATATGTATAAAATGAGATTACAGTGGGAACCACAATGGTTTTTAATATGCCTCTGGAACACCACTGCATTCCTAAGTGAGACACACTGAGGTGATGTAGCTCAGTAGGACACAGTCAGCCCTCATGAATGGGGTTAAGAAAATGTTCCCTTCGTCTATCACAACACAGGGGAGAAAGGATATTCTATCATCTAACACGTATGGGATTTACCTGCTGCTATTTTTACAGAATAACATAATTTCAGAAAAGCTTCTTCCACAGCAGTATGTTATTGATACAAAACCTGGCTCCATGATACAGAAAAAGTCCTTAGGACAGTGGATGCTCCCATCAGGGAAACACAAAAGTCACTAAAAGAGGCAGGCACTCAGAAGCTTGCAGAAACATTAAACAAATAAGATAACTGATCTCATTTATCTGGAGGGTTTCTTCCATTCCCCTTCTCCTAGCACTGGCACCYATTGCAGAAAATTAGGGTGTCTACTCTTGGGAATAGCACTCAACTCCCTTTCTTACTCAAGGCTCATGAAGTCTCATAGAACTAAGCATTTGCCCCAGAGAACTTGCTTAAGGCAAAAAGAAAATCAACAATAAAACACAGCAGCATTAACRAAGAGATAATTGGGTTTGCAATTTTCTCTATTAATACACTTACCTCTACTCCCGTGGGAATGCTGTGCTCACAAGCACTGGCCCAAGACATTGTAACCAAGAATAACAGAAAAACATGGCTGGCACAATCTTTAATGGGAATCTTTGTGACTACTTGGCACCTCCACTGTTTTTTCAAGTGGGAGTTGTTACGTGCGAACAGTCCAAATGTCACTGAGACCTAATCCTTGAGAATTAAACCTCAGAAAGGGTTAGCRTTAGTTAAGGTTTTAATGGAGATGTGAATAAAATATATGGTACCTGTATATCTGTACTTAACTGTAGGATCTCATACAGATTGTGTCCTTGCAAGCAGAAAAGAAGAAGCAGAAGCAGGAAGGAGTCCCACTCCTAACATCTTGACTAGACCTTACAAATATCACCCTTCTATCACCTAGACCATATCACCCTTTTGAGAGCTGCTCACTATAAATAAATCTGAAGAACAAAGTATTTAAATGAAGATTGTTAACCACTTAAAAAGGCAATTTCATTCATTTATTGCATTGACATTTCCAATGTTGAAATACTTATTTCAGGATGGAATACTGGTTGACAAACAGAAATACCAAAAATGATATACCACTTGCAGAATAATTGCTGTAGTGTGCTATGTATCCTCACCAAATATAAAGCTAAAGCAATAACTGTTTCTAACAAAAAATATGCTGTCAGTTTCTTGACAGGTAAGCACAGAGTAGAATCACTTCAGTGTTAAAGGAGCTGTTCATAATCCACCTTGYCACATTCAAGGCATTTAAGATTTTAAATGCTCAATATGTCACTACACAATTTAATAAACATACTACCCTGGCACACACACACATCTTGCACAGATTGCTTTGATCTATTTGCCAGTTGCAATCTGAAAAGATGAAATAGAAGACTTCAGAGGCACAACAATCTGAAGCACAGCATGAGTTTCTTTATAAATAAAGCTTCAAAATGTTTACCACTACTTTGCTAAGAAGTGTTTAGCGTGAGCTATAGAAACTACAAAACATTATTAATACAAATATTCCTAAAACACACATTTTGATTTAAACATTTTGATTCATTCTTTACAAACCATGTCTTTGTTTTACAGAATTACAAAATAATTCATAATTTGTACTGCTTGATCACTTTGCAGAGATACAAAACACAATCTCTGACTAAACTGTGATGGAGAGACTTTTATTTTTTACCATAAGTAGTAAGTACCTTATTTCCAGTTTTGCATCTAAATCTCCTAAAGCTTTCCAAAAGTATTTTTATATTTTCAAAACTCATGTCAATCTTTACAGTTCTTAAGACAATTAACTTGGACTTGCTCCTTTTGGCAGATGATGGTTTCAGTGTAATTTTTGATAGAGACAACACATTAAAGTCTTATTATCATAGCTATCTAAAACTGACTCTTGATCAGAGAGGGTTTATAAGACTGTCATTTATTTTTAACAGTCAAAAAGGAAATTAAAGTGCACACCTCCAGAAACTGGCTACAGCAATTTATGGCACAATTACCATGTGTTCTGTGGCATTACAAGATTTAATTACTTAATAAAATACATTTAGTTTATGGGAATGCAAAGCTCTTGTCTGCATTTGCATCAGCCAATGTTATTCTTTCTGTTCTGTAGTATGCTGTAGTGCATATGATACTCAGGTACCATGACATAGTTTCTTAGCAGTATGAAACTACTAACAATTCAGAGCTTTTTGAACAACAAAGCCAAAGCTGCAGAGACTGTAGGTAACCTCTCTGGCTCCTTGCTTGGTTCCTGTCTCTCACTGGCCCTCAGTAAGGGTGCCTCAGGTTGGCAATGCTCTTCATGGCTGTCCACATGTGGCTGGTTTGGCACAAGGGTAGATAAGAGCCTGCCATAAACTTCATCAGTGCAACCTCAGGTCTCTCTTCCCTGTTAGTGTCAACAGCTGAGGGGCCTGTGCCCTCTGTCTCCCACAAAACAGCACAACGCTCAAAGGCCAGAAAACTGCTTACATGTCCAAGCAAATTTCTAKCTTGAAATTAAGGCCATTTTACCAAGATACCAAATACAAAATATACTGTAAACTGTCCTAGGATAAAATTACTTCAGTATTTTTTCATATATTTCAAGACAGCAAGCGCAAGTTAACTCATTTAAGGGATCACTACACCAGAGGTAGGATGCTGGCAGCAGAATACAAGCTAAGACCTCAAGAAAAGCTTCTTGAGCTCTTTTTCTGCTCTGCACCCTAACAGGAATCCAAACCAACCTTGTTCATCTGCTCTTGGCTCAAGAAGTTCTTCCTAGATTTTTTTTTTTTTTCCTTTGAGCAACCACCCAAGGTCAGCCTAGAAAGAGCCCCTCAAAAGAGAAGCCTCAAAGTTTGGCTGGCTAGAAAAGGGTTACTATAACACAAACTGTAGCAACGATAGGAGGAACAGCAGTTCACCATAAAATCCTCAGTTCCCTCAAGTAGTTTCAGATCTGCATCTACAGTTGTCACCTTTGCTTACCATCTTCCAAAATCACATTCTAAAACTGAAGGTTGCCTGCTAACTAGAGAGAACTGCTTTGCTTTAGAAAAACAAAACTTCACTAGGAAGCTGATAATGCAAGTTCTGATTGCACTTCCAGGAAGGCAAGATAAGGCCACATTTGGCAAAAATGAAATCTACTCAAATACAGTACACTTTTGCTAATAGCTAGAGGGGCACTCATATCTATATTGTTTTCTAAAAATAGTGGTTGATTAAAGCAGAAAATCTATTCATAATTAAGATAGAAAAATACAGTTACTCAGGTATAAAAATACAGAAACACACAACCCATTCACATTATCCACAGTTGATAGTATATGGACATGTTTTAAGCCTAAAGCAGTTGTAATGTTAACTGCCTAACTGATTTTCAAAGTTGACCGTGTGCATATGTTTATAAATATTATGCACATTGGCAAAAGAGATAAAATCCTGGTAAATATCTCCAGAATGTAGAATTGCAAATCTGGTGTCTGAACATGGCTGGGCCTGCGGCTGACCAATTGTTTTTGTACAGATCGCATAGGCACGACAAMAACATCTGCACATTCCACAGCTTGAAAATCCAGACCTGCTGCTCTCAGGCTGACAAGAGTATTTTGGGACTTGCAGCCAGCAAAACAATACTATCATATCAGTGCTGAATCAGTGTGAAACAAAATAACTTGTTCAAATTAAGTCCTTTGTCACTGAGGAATGTCTTTTTTATACCTTCTGCTTCTTAAAATACTAGTATTTACCATACGTTGGACAAGTTAATCCTTTGTGATTCTATCTGAATCATCCAAAGCTCCTCTGTTCTTCACATCAGAAGCAGCTCCTTAAATAGCAGGAAGCGTGCGTCTCTGCTGTGCTGTTAACTCAGGGTGCCACACATCAACAATGAATATCAGGCGATAACTTTCAGCATCCTGCCATACTTCATGTTCAAAAGAGTCATCAAAGATAAGGACTTTCCCTTCTTCCCAGGTTCTGCAACAGAAAAGAACATCCTTTAGAATCATATTTGAAGTACCATGGAGTGGGCACTTGTCTACCTATGCATCAGCTCTGAGATGCTCTTTTATATATGAGAATGATTTAATCACTGTGTGTTGCAGAGTCGGGATTTTATTATCTAGTAAGAAGAGATTAGGATATTAAGTGAAATAAACTACAGAAAGATCAGTCTAATGGACCTTCATATTACTGAGAAATTGTTTTCTCTCACTCTGCATAGTTATGACCACATGTGCCCACATGCATYTTCAGACATTTGCAATATCTGTTATTTATATACTCTAAGGATTGGAGTCTAATAAGCAGAAAGCATTTGTCAGGCTTGTTGGAAAAATATTGCTAGGCTTCTCCTTCTCTAATCAAATACATATATAATGAGAAACTGRGGGAAAAAAGACCAGCAATACAGTCTGAAAATTAATAACATTAAAGCACTTTGCTTTTTCCAACAATAAGAGAAATAGAAATAGGCTATTGTGCTTATTTTCATTTCAATTCACGATGCTTTACAATTTTAAGGAATGTGAACAGTCTTACCACATAACCCCGGTCAAAGTACAGAGCCTAGAGATTTTTCTTTAGAGGAATTTCCGGAATGGCATTCTGTACATTGGGACCATTATATACTGTTATAGCTGAATTCAAAGATCAAGTCCACATAACAAACCCCTCTGCTTGCCAAGCAACGCTTAGGCAGAGTGGTCACTGAACCAACAAAAGTACTTTGGGTGAGTGCTTGTGGTTTGAAGCATTGCTACTATAAAGCTAAATTTTGAGAGTGGAACTTTTCCAAGATCTGTATTAAATATCTTTGTCAGACACAAAAAGGGTTGTACATAACTGGGTTGCTTCTGAGCAGCTCTGTTGTTTGAAAAATTAACAAAATGACTGGATTTGAAGGAAATGGCAAGTAGCAATGTATTAAGAGAAGTATTAATAGTTGGAAGAATCTGTATTCCTTTCAGTTACATTAAGTTTCTTAATCACAGAATAATTTTGGTTGGAAGAAAAGTCAGGAGGTCACCTCATTCAAACTTCTCCTCAAAGTAGGGCTTTGCAGTTGTGAAATTAGATTTTTTGAAGGTTAATTAGGCATCTCAGCTCCTTGTCTAGTTTTAAATATCTGCATGGATGGAGATGCCACTATTTCTTCAGGAAATCTGTTCCAGTGCTTGACCAATCTCCCTGTGAATGACTTTTTCTTCTATGTAAATGCAATTTTCTTTGCTGTCGATTTTGTCCATTGTCTCTCAGCCTGTGACTGCACATTGCCAGGAAAAGGCTGGCTCTGTTTTCTGCAAAATTATGCATTATTAGTTGAAGACAACAATTAGACCTTTTGTCCTTCTTTTTTTTTTTTAAAAAAAAAAACTCCTAACCACTTCAGATGCAATGCTTTGAATGCTGAAGAGAGGGGGCAAATTGCTTCTCTTAGGCTTCTTCCAGTCCATGTTTAGCCTTCATCCTCACAAGAACACACTACTAATTCATGTTCAGCTAGCTGTACACCAGGACTTCTAGTCTTTTACTGTACATCTGCTTTCTAGGAAACTATCATCCAGCCCATACTGTTGCAAAGCGTTATTTATTATGTTACAGTTGTAGTGACTTTCATTTGCTTGTGCTGAATGTCATGATATTTTGGTTGGCCCATTTTTCCAGCCTATTGAGATCTTGACACAGAATTTTTAAAAGACTTTTAACTGCAAACTTAATGCTGTGAAAAATCTCTATACTATCAGTGACTACAAGTCGCCAGAACACTGTAAGAAGCCACTKCTTTAGCCATTTGCTGTTGCTTTTGAGATGCTCAAGCTCACCTACTGCAAATAGATATAGTGACTGATTATGCAGTACATGGTATGCAGTCAGGCTGTGGAATAAGCAAATCAAATTCCTTTTGCATTGCAGCAGACTAGAAGTAGGCATCGGACTATTCATCCTGTCTCACCTGAAGGAGTAATAACTAACAGTCAGTGAGATGTTATTTCCTAAAGCCACTCCACAATGATCACATAATTAAGTTTTTTAACAGGATCCCTGAGGAAGAAAGGCAGTCCACAAGGATGGATTCCTTTAAAGGGAATTAAGGATTGTAAATAGTAGTGATGATAATAGAAAAAAAAAACTCTTGCCCTATAAAAAAGTTTTCCCCTATACAGCGACACACATTTCTTAGCTCATTCCATTGAGCTSATCCACATAAAAAAGAAATTTTCTTATTTCAGAAAGAGGATGGATGACAATGATATTTGGACTTCTAAATATTCTTGAATATTTAACTTAATAAAAGAAAAACATTAAACATCAAAATTTATGGAGCTGTGCTGTGTGTTCTGAAGAGAAATGGAAACAATCTTCAAATTATATTTTAGGTGAGAACAGATAAACCAACAAACATAAGGTGGTGAAAAACATCACCMTGGCTGGCAGGTGGACACCAGCCTTAAAGGGCTACATAATTAGCCATTAACAGGTTTTAAGTACAGTCTTGTATTTCTTGCTGCTACTACCTCAGCTATGTGGTAAATAAAGAAAACTATTAAGTTATACAGGCTTAAGTTCCTACTGCAGTTCTAAAGTTACATCAGTATTATTCAAGTCAAAAGGAGGCAACCATTTACAATGGTATAATGTGGTAAAGAATCGACGTAGCTTTGGTTTTTTATTAAATCATGTCTGAAAAGACCTGCATTAAATATCCTGAAAGCATTACTCAGTTACGGACAACAAAACCTCAAATCATCCAGATGAGGTAGTTTAAGGGGTTAAAATAGAACCTATCATTTGCATCATAACAGAATAGACTATTTTGYACAAGAAAGAAAAAGTCATAAAGTTGATTTTTGACTATTGTCTCTTGTGGAGAAATTACCAACCCATCATTAGAATGCAAAAGAATATTTTCCAGATACCTTCATTGAAAAAGTGTCCACAGTGGGACCAACAGACAGCATTATTCTGGTATGGTGCTTAGCCRCTTGGAGACAGAGATCTGTATCATCTGCATGGCTTTTAGTTAACATGCTACAGGTAGAAATTTAGACTAAAATCTGTGCAGGGTTATATCTCTGTATTTTCCAGACTCTTCTGCAAGTAAACAAGTAAAACAGTACTGGATAGGCAAGCTGCCTACCAGCAGATGAGCTGCATAGTAAAATTGCTCCTCTAAACACCCACATTGACTGCACAGTGGTGTGCTCAGCACAATATTCTCATTACTTCCATGCTTTGTCTTGCACATGAAGCAGCAGAACATGAAGCCACCAAGGACGGAGTCAAAGCACTGACTGCCAACACAATCTCCTTTAAATCTGAGCCACGATTCATAATTAAAACCACTAACATACTACTGCTCTGAGTCACGAGGAGAGGAACTGAAAAAGCTCCAGATATGATTTCTTCATGGGATCATTTCTTCCCACAGGAGCTCACATGTCTCCACTTGCATGGGGGAGGGGATATAAAAAAATTAAATCATTTTCATTTGTAGACATTCTTTGAAGGCTCTCAAGGAGCATCTTTCATTCTTTGTATATTGGCCAAAGTCAACTGAGATGAACACGCACCAGCCCAGGCCAAAGTCAGCTTTCAAATGGGAGTTTAACATTTCAAACGCGTGGSTTTGATGCATGCAGGATGAGCCAGGCACAGGGGCTGAAGTGCTCTGCCTGTCTACCAGCAGCAACAGGCATTTCTCCACTCTGCCCGACCATATCCATGCTGCTGAGGGAGTGTTGGTGCCAAGGGAGGGATAGTTCATTTTCCACACCACCATCCCTTCTATTCAGATTAAGAGAAATAAGTGTGTCAGACATAATAATGGATGGTGAGTTGCAAGCACCTGCTCCCTTGAAAGTGGAGCAAAGCTTGTCAGTCACCACTGACCTGAATTCACAATAATGACCCAAAGGGGAAAGACTCCACATCTTCCTATTAGTCCTCTAAGCCCTTTAGCCACTCCTCCTTCCACTCAAATGTCTACCATGAACTTATTTTGGATAGTGGGTTGGAATCCTGGAAGAGAACCTGTTCATCACTACTTAGACTGTAATACAGACCAAGTAAGACATTACTTAGTAATAGTTGTGAGACAGATCATGAAATAAGCTATATGTTGGCAGGAGTCATAAAACCTCTGTAGTGGCATCCTCTCGGTTATTAATAGTTGCATACTTCTCAAAAATTCTAAACATTTCCAGTGGTGGCTTTCAAATGTCATGAAGAAATTCTTTTTAACTATTGCAGTCATGACTGCTATTTCATTTCTCAATATCAAAGATATCTGTACAATAGCACCATGAAATGTATCCAAATTTAAATTTTGTAGTACTCAGATGCATACAGACAAGACACAGGATCTTTTAAAAATGTACCTATATATGTGTAAATATACATACATATAAATACAAACATACATATATATRCATAAATATGTATATTTATAGCATTAGAACTCCACATAAGTTTCTGAAAATTAAGTCTTAAGCAAAMAGTAATATAGATAATATTATWTTTTTTTTTCTGGATAATAATATGACATAAACACCTATCACATCCTAAAGTTTGGGATTTCCTTATATTTCCCAGGAGAGCACACTCCCTGACTTATGTGTCTAGGTCATTGCATTTTGCTTTGCTTTTTGCACTGAGCAAACAAAGGCCAAATGGGTTTCAAGTCTGCATAATTTTTCCCTAAGGGGTAAGAATTCTTACTCAAAATGCACTTTAGGGAAACTTGCTACCAGTGTAACTCTTTGGGGTAAAATCATCATAGCCGTAAATCAGCTTCAACTAGAATATATTTATTAGATTTATTATATTTATTATTTAGATTTATTTATTATATTTATTATAAATAGAATATATTTAGCCAAACAATACTYTCTAGGAATAAGGCCTCATGTCGAAAAGGTGATAATATTCTGCTGCCCTGGTGATGAAAATACAGTCATAGCTTAGTCTCAACTTCTGCTGGAGAAGCACAGAATTCTAGGCCAAAAATTAAAAAACAGATAAATGATGTTGGTAAATATATTAGACTGACATTGTAAAAGTAAACATAGAAAATAGACAAAAAAAATAGTATTATTTACAAGCCATAGGTGAGAAGAGCAGTTTTGTCTCTGAATGTTGTTTTAGTGCTGCTTGATAACGAACATTTATGYATTTGGTCTCAGATTTAGGGTGCAATATTACATATATTATTCCTCCAGACTGGTATATGCATTCCAACCTATTTTGAGGTTTGGAAAAGAGGAGGCTGGTGGGAAAGAAACAAAATAAAACACCTCACCTGTTCTCTTGGGCACACCGAATTCTGCAGCCTTCTTTAGGTATCACCAAGCCCAAATGCATCCTTAGTCTACAGTTGGTGGGCCCTGTGTGAGGCCAGACATGAGTCCCTGGATGCATGACAGAATACTTGATCTGCAAAAAGGAACAGTAGCCTTCAACAAGGTTACTTCTACCAGCCTTCTGCTAGGAACCCAGAACCACACCTCTCATCGAGGATGAGACCAAGAGTGCAGCATCACTTTGTGTTAGAGCTCAGCAACTCACATCCCAAAGGCATTCAACACTACAACAAATGTGTGGTGTTTGGGGGGTGTATGTGTGTGCATGCATGGGTGTGTGTGAGAGAGAACTGTGCAAACACACATTTTAATTTTGTTTAAAACCATCAAGATTAATTGCAACCTGCAAACAATTAGCTCCTAACTACAAGCAGGAAAATATTTTCTTTCATGTAGAATGAAGGGATGGACCATGACTAAATTCAGCCCAAGTCCAAATGGGGACTAACCAAAAGAACCATCAGAGGGGATATGAAGGCTGCAGTGGGGCCTTCACTGCTCTCTCAAAGGGCAGTGGGGATATGAAGGTTGCAGGCAGCCTCGACTGTAGCAATCATGACAGGGTTAATTAAGCATTCTGAATCCATATCTGAATTCCTTCTGAGAGAAAGAATCAAAAGAAAAAAAGTAACAAAACAAAACAAACAAACAAAAAAAATTGTAATCCTTCACAAGCCGGAGCTTCGAAAGAATAGGCTTGGCTACTTAGGGATCTGCCTGGAAATCAGTGAAATCAGTGCTGAAGAAAGGAAGGAAAGCTGTTTTTGTAAGGATCAGATCCTCCAATCTCAAAAATGGCCCACCCTAGCAAGCAAGAAAGCAGGTGGYAGCAGGCCTGCATGGATGAACAAGGAATTCCGAATTAAATTCAGGCATAGATGGAAGCAAGGATGGATGACTCAGGAGGCATATAGAGACACTTTCTGAGCATGTAAAGATAGGATCAGGAAAGCTAAAAYGCATTTGCAGCTGAATGTGTTGAGGGATTGAATGCTAACAAGGGCTTTTTCCTGCATAATAGCAGGAAAAGCTTACAAAGGATCAGAATGACTAACTGCTCAAAGCAGAGTCAGTCATGAGGTCAGCCTAGGTTGCTTCTGGATGTAATTTAGTAAGTTATTTCTTGACAGTTGACCCATGAGAACTAACTATTTACATAGTCTGAGGTCACAGAAAATGCAAAATAAAATAGTTCAACTAGAAATTCCACAGAAAGGCTTCAGCTAGCATATTTTGCCACATATTTGCTGTTTACTAACAGCAAATATTTACTTCATTGTGTGTCTGAGGTATCCTTGAAGATAACAAGGTAATATATCCCCCTGCACATATTTTTTAACATCATCTGCTCTCACACAAAAAAAAAAAAAAAAAAAAAAAAAAATACCTGTCCTCTTCTGCAACCGGTAGCTTCCGGGAATCTTTCCAGTAAAGCACATGTGTTTGGAGCACCCTTACAAGAATTCTCATTTTTCCTTCCTAGTGAAAATAATTACTAGAGTATTAGTAAATGCAATAAACAAACATTCCTATGTTTTCTACATGTATTCCTAYGGTTCCTTCTTAGAAGAGAAACAAAGCTGTAAAGGAGCTGACATGAAAAAACAGGGAAATATTATTCCCACTCTACAAATCATGAAACAGAAGTCTTAATACTTTATATGTTGTTGCATCCTGCAATATCTTTGCTTTTAAAATATTTGTGGAAAACAGTAGACTTCATGTAATTTTCAATAAGATTTTCAAGAATGATCATTAACCAAGATGTACAGGAAGACAGATTAAAAAAAAGCTATCAATAGCAGAGCAATTAAACATCAGATTTATATTTTGACATACCGTGCTTATAATATTTTAGCTTTCAGTACRCTAACATGCAAAGTCCTATAAGGAGTTCTGGACATTCCAATATACGGGATCCCCACTTTACAGCTCAGAGACAGAGCAGCAAGCTTATTAAAGCTCATATTCTTTTCTTCATAGAATTTCTTAATGGTATAGTCTCACCTAGCTGGCAACCCAATATTAAGGATCCATCTTCTCTCCTACTCTCCTGCTGTCCCTCAGGCTGATCTGTGCTATGCATTACACCATGTACATTTTGGGCAACCTTGCCAAGAGATGAATGGTGTCTCAAGGAGTTCTTAGAAGTGTTTGGGGCAAGGAGGCTTAGAATAAAGGATTCACCCTCACTGTTGCTCCCTTCTTTCACAGACTTAAATAATTGATTCAGTGATTAGAAAATATGATTCTCGAAAAAAAAAACAATCTAACTATTCCTTATTACAAGATATTAATCTGAGAGAGTAAAGTAGAAGAAGAATTACCAAATGGCTTACCTTGCTGCCATAAGGTAAACTGACTCCAGTCTCCCTTTTCTCGTAGATTCTCATCTTCAGGTAAGAAGAGGCTTCTTTTTTTATCCATCACAGCAAGCCCCTCATCCCGAATGAGCTTCCAGTTTTTTTCTAAGGACTGTAGTGAGAGCTATATTACTGCACTGAGAACTTACTGTGTTTGGATTTAGTGCCTTTTTACTTTTCCTTGCCATTTTTAACTTTCTAATTCAAAAGCACTAACAAACAGTTCATCATAATTATCAAGTTTCCTAATATTCAATTTTCTTCTGACATTTGAAGGCTATAAAAACAAYGTTCACATCATTCTTCAGATTCAATTACATTTCTAGCAGAAAATTTCAATAATCCCCAACCTCTTTGCAGACTACACCTCACTTTAATTTGCTTTTTGATTAGCCTAGGGGCTGTTTAACAGGTCATTTTATATTCCAAGCTAACAAGAGTATTGATCTTCTCACACACAGCACAGTATTACCTGGAAGCACTCCCGAGACAAGAAATCCACTAGCATAACCTGAAACTCAAAGTGTCGACAGAATGTCACAGTTGAAAGAGGACAAATGCAAACACACCACTACAGCTGAAGTTTATGATTTAACCTACAAAAAGGTTTGTAAAGATTCCCCTACACATTCTGATCCTATTGAGAAACATCAAACATTACTTGAAGTTCCAAGTGAAGATTTAGGAACACACTCATTAAAAAGGTATATGTCACTTTGCACTTCATGCATACCAAAGTCACAGGATTGTAGATGTTAAAACTTCTCTGCTGTCTCAGGACATTATATTTGTAAGGAATTTGGTATGTTAGAAAACCCGTATTCTAGCAACAATAGGCCATTTTAAAGGTACAGTAATATGAATAAAACAACCCACGGAGTAATATAGGACTCAGTAATAAAGAAGCGACTTCCTTTTCCCAGCTGCTTGCTTTATTCACTAAACCTTATTTTGGAAGAATAGTTTGCATTTTCCTTTGTGCTCGCAAACAAAGCACTTCTGTAAGGCAATCTCAATCCATTTCATACAGAAAATAGGCTAAGGTGTGTGTCCACACTGCCTCTTTGCATGATGTGCGAAGCTGAATGGAACTTGTCCATGCTATATTGTCAGATTGGAAGATATAATTGCCCCTTTTTAGCCTTAAAAATCCRTATGGTTATTAGACCTCCCCTTTCAATTAAACAGTTGTGCTCTCTACTTGTTTCTTTTTTCCATTAAAAGACAACAGTAAGTAGAKTCTACAAAACAGGTTGTACCTTGATATACCATAAAAGGCTTAGAAAGCAAAGTAACTAATAGAACATATTTTCTATGATAAAATGAGTAACTCCCACTCAACCAATTTTAAGCAGGCTGTGGTTTGTTAGGATTAAACTTCCAATACTACAATGCTTTTTTTGTTCCTTCCTAATGGATAGCATTATGTCTGTATAGTGGATAGCATCAATCTGTACAAGGAGAAGAACACTTTTAATTATCATTATTCCTGATACATTCATTCAATTCTTTACTTGAGTTGGGTTTGCATCACAATCCTTTAACAAYGATCATTAAGTAGAAATGCTTTCAACAATATTCATGGAAAATTGACTTCTCTAAACTGCAAGGAAAAAAAAAAAGCAGATTCTCACCCCACCTAATTTAATTCCCACCTAATAAATCTAATACATTCTAATATATTCTTACCTAATCATAGATTAATATTTCACCTGCACTCATACTGTATGGTTTAGTGCTACCATATCTACAAATGAAAATAACAATTTGAATACCTGATTTTGTACTGTCTTGGGAAGGGAAAGAAATAAATGACTTATGCTTATACAGACCTCAATCTAAAGTGATAAAGATCAAAAAAAAAAGAGCAGAACTGTGAAAGATTTAAGTACCACTTCATCTTTATTTCCCCAGCTTCCTCCCACTCACTTGGCTGATAAAGGCAAGCTCTTAGTTTGCCCATTCAGACCGAGTGCTCTGTTAAAGGTAACAGCTTCTTTGTCACCTTTAGTGCTTTGGAAGTGACACAGGCTGAAAGTCAACCTGTGAAGTTGCATGTTTCCCTGCCATTTTTGAGCTCTTTCCCTGCCATGTTGGAGTCAAAGGGATTTGAATATCATTGATATCGACCTAACTCCTCAATGGTTTGGGGTATAATTGCCAGTGAAATCAATAGGGCTTCCTCACTCTTGGGAATCCAGACCCTGCCTTTGAAGCAAATAGGAATGTTTTACTGCAAGGAATATGCAGTAAACATCACTTTCTAAGTACAAAGGAAAGAAAGAGTTACAGGAGTTCAAACACACCACAGCCTTGATCTCCCTGATTTCACAGGCTCTTACTGGACGCTAAGAAAGCATAAAACCATTAAGGTATAACAGACTTAATGCTCTTAATGGGCTTAAGGCTCTTGAGCCAAACACTACAGAAAAAAAGGTTAAGTATAATCACGCTCCATAATACACAAAGATTCAAGCCTCAGGTTAAGAACAGAAAATTCATATTCTATTTGGTGCAATATTCAAATGGTAATTTTCAAGTGAAGATTTTGGTGGCAAATGAATGGCATTTAGAACATATGTTGTTATTTCCCAGCAGCTGATTCCCATAATCTGTCATATAGCTTTTCAATATAGTTTCTAATGATAACGGAAGTTGAAAGTTGCTTTATGCCTGGCAATACTATAGATTTGATTGGAAAAGAGATTACTGTATTTAGAGATTAAAAAAAGAAAATACTGATTTATTGTTATGTGTAACTGTATGGTATTAAAAATCTCTAGTTTGTGATGTCAAACCCTTTCCAGGGAAAGGTGCTAATGAGTGTAGCCATATATTAATAGACACYACGTGTCATGTGAGGCATGAGGGCTGGTCACATATGCATTTCAATCCATGAGATATTAAAATAAAACAACGGTGAAGGTTTGAGCCCATTTCACTTTGGCACTGAAAGATAGTAGGAAAGCCTTCACGTGCTGTTCAAGTGCCTCAGCTAAGGAACAGCAACCTCCAAAACAGACCCCTTGCTCACATTTGGTCATTCACAGTTTTTCTACATTCACAAGATGACAAAAGTGCATGCTTMATGAATTTGCTTTTTTCAACACAAGGCTCCCCCTAAACCATCGAGGCACTCTTTAAGGCRTTTCAATTAGACACACATTTCAGTTTATTTTTTTCCATTAAATTTGATTGTTTAGCATTTTTGGGCTAAACCACTGAGCCCTGAGTCACTCTGCAGCAAACCTTATGGATATAAGTGTGGTTGCCAGAACTTTCATTTTCTTACTGTGATGTTCTTGTTGTGCTTGAAACTTTTAATTAATAAAATCTAAGTCATCAGAGAAAACTGACAATGCAAGAGCTACTTTAATCAGGCAGCTATTCACTGTAGAACATTGTTGGCAAAGCATCACCTGGATCCTTCCCAAAATTTGAAGATGCAGTATGTGGAAACGGCACAGTTACCTAGGTCATCATATATGTATTCCTTAGAGAAGTGAAAATTCTCTAGGATCTTTTTTTTCCTCTAGGATGCTTTTTTTTTTTTTTTTAACACTAGAATAGTAAGGTAATATTCTACAGACATTCTACAAGAGATGACATGATGCAATGGATGAGTAAGATTGGCAGAGGAAAATTTATTGCACCAAGAGAAGAAGATAATAATGGTAACTGAGCTCAAAAAAGAGTTTCTCGAATCTCCAGATCCAAAGCCTACAGCGTGATTGACATGAGTCACTTAATAGACTCTTCTTAAGTTGAAGGTTTGTATCTTCTGCTTCCTGAGAGATCGGGGGCTCTTTCCTAATATTTCAAGAAAACTCCAAAACTTAAGCAGCAGCTACAGAGAGAGAAAAAGTTCCCCTTTCCATAAGTATGCTATCCTAAGACAGTTAACTACCCTAGCATATTGAGGATGAATCACTCTATGGAAATAATTTTTTTTTTTAATTGAAATATAACCTAGACACATATAAAACAAATCACTACTGTTAGGTGAGGATAATCTTGCCCAGAAGAACTTTATGAGACTGGTAGTACTGAAATTTTGTTTTCTTAGGTTTCCATCTAGAAAAAACAAGTCACTGCTCAAATTCACATCTCCACCTCCAAAAACAAGAAAATAMACAATCCTTTATTAAAATAACCAAGTTAGGTCTGTGTTATAGCACATCACTGTTGAACATGGCTCACCACAGATGTCTTAGATAATACAATGAACAAAAAGTAGCTATCAGAGTATGTTAGGGAATCTGGATTTAGCATTGTTTTACTTTAGTTTAAAACCTCAGTAAACATTGTTAAGCTACCAAGATACTGAAAATAATTTGTTCACATTTAACAAATAAGTGGTAAAACAGAGAGAGAGAGGGGGTCAAAGACTCTGTTGTTCCATTCTTCAAGTAGCCATTTTAATGACAAATCCCATAATTCTGATTTGGTAGCACTTCCCACACATTCTGTACAGATGTTAGATGTATATAATGGGATAAAACAGTAAAAAATAACTGCTGATTGGTTTTTGCTCTGTGAAAYGGGGAAATAAGTTCTTCTTTAAACTAAAATATGTACAGAAGCCAGAATATTACGGAAATTAATAAAACAGACATCTTCAGTGGCTTTGTTGTCACTCTCTAGAGAATGCTACCAAAAATATTGCTTGCAGCCTATTACTTTATTAGAAACAAGCTTTCTTTCTCTCAAAGATTCAAATACTGTTTTGAGTCTTAGGGGAAACACAGAAATACAAATACTATTCTTCTGATCCATTTAAATTATATTTTGAATTTATACCTTCAATTTTTAAGGTTATTCTGAAGACTGTAACCTTAATATATCCAAAATATAATAGATATGAAAATAAATCAGCAAACCCAATATGGCCCATGTTTCTTTTCAGTAAGAATTACAGAATGGTTAAGGCTGGAAGGGACCTCTAGAGATCATCTAGTCCAATCCCCTTGCTCAAGCAGGGATACCTAGAGCACATGGCACGAAGTGTTTGTGTTTTAATTATTTGTATAGAGTCACATACCAATAATCAAAATTTTCACAAAAAGGCACTTCTCTCACTTTTTATTAAGGAATTAATAAAGATCTGTCTTGGAATTTCTGTTCTTTTTTTAATAAAAATGTTTTGCACAATTTTGGAACATAAGTTATTACTATAAGTAATAACCAATTATATGTCATGCATTAAATTAAAAAAAGAAAAAAAAAATGAAGGAATATAACCTTATCCTCTTTTACTCTATTTGTCACTTGGAGTCTAAATTTATTTCTTTTATGTAATGAAAAGCACCCAAAGAAGTCTGAGTTTCACACAAGCAATGAAGGACACAGCCTTTCTTGAGTAACTGAAAACTCAGTGTCCCAGTCAACACCAGACTTTTTTGTCTTTTTGTACTTGAGACACTACAGTTTGTAAGTAAATTTTGTATTTACATTTCTTCATCCTCAAATTTTAAAACACCTTGAGCTCATCTTATTTAAGTACCTTATTTAAATATTGAGCAATGACAGTCTAGATTTAGTGTTTTGTACTCTCTTATCATGAATCATGCATTAAAGAGATTTCTCAGCATTTTCTCTGCTTAAGATCTTATATTATACTTGTCATTAAAAAAATATATAAAAGTAAAATGGAACAAACTCCTCACCTTCACCAGCTCTGTATAACCAGTTTCCCTTGCTGTCCACCAAGGCTGAGCTTTAAGTCCCTTGACATTGTAGAGGGAGCGCTGCCACACAGATGCGAAGTGACCTCTTTGGTATCCAAGTTCATACCATTTGTATGCCTAAAAGATCRCATTGTTACCAACCTAATTCATATCAGTGAAACTTCAGTAAAAAATAATAGCTTATACTCATTTGGGAAAGGTATAGGCCCTTTGGATGCAGTGATATTCTCCTAATACAGTGTGCAATAATAATCATTACCATGTGTATCATAACATCAAAAACTGGCCTATGCTCTGGGTTCTGTCCCAAGAGTCAGAAGATCCAATCCTGTATAATCTTGGTCAGACTTGTTTTCTTTATGCTTCAGTTCTCTATGCATGGATTAAAGATGACTGCTTTCTGGTACCAAAAGAAATTCTGAGACGATGAAAACACAGAATGGACTTTGTGGATCTAAACTGTTGCATCATTACCTCAAATATTTCCAGTCCTGAATTTCTATTAGAAATCTTTCCTTTTGCAAGGAGATCTTAGAAATGGAAAGACTAAATAATGACCACTGTACTATTCAAGGCAGCTACAACAATACATATTGTTTTCAAGAAATAATTTGAGAGTTTATATATTCCATGTGAATAGGATTTTGCTAATTCTACAGCCTTGCACTCTTTTCACTCCCCTCCCCCCCCCCCATTTTCTTTGTGAACAAACATCTAGACTTTTCATGGTTTGGACATAATTTCCTAGAGAAACATGTGAGGAGCATGTTTTTTTTTTTTTTTTGCCATTTGGCATTTTATTGAATTATTCAACACTATTTCCCTACAATTTACCTAGATCACATTTTTAATTTCTCATTTACCTCTAATAGATGAATATCTACCTTCAATGAACCTCTAGTGATAGCAGTTTCACATACTCCTTAAATATCGATCTGTCTCCTTGATTATATCTTGAAGTTCAGTAAGTCAAGCAAGGTCAGTAAGAAAAATGTAGCTTAGAGTGGACTTTCCATAGATAAATTTAAGTCTCCTCTGTTCAAACAAGTTCACTTGTCATTGATTAAAGCTTTTTTTCTAGAGAATATTTGACCATTAACTCCATAAACATTAACACATAATTATCCTGGGATTTGGGATGTTGCAYGTTAATTATGTCTGTGTGGGATCTTTAGTCACACATTGTAATAGGATGCTCTAGGCTTAGTCATTCAATCCAGGGAAGCATAAAGAGATTTTCTTTTCAGTTCTCTGCTCTGAGATGGAGAGACAGACTTAGATAGAACGTATGTGTGTTTGTATTTGTGTCTGTATGTGTGCATACATGTGTGTAAATGTAAAACGAAGCCACTTGTAAATAACTGCAAAACAAACAAACAAACAACAAGAAACACCTTTGGAAGAACACTTTCAGAGAAAACAACCCAACTCAAAATAATCATATCTTATTACATTCCAAAACTCTAGCCCTACTGTGTATAAGCATAAAGTATTGTAACAATAGTCTTTTTTTTTTTTTTTTTTTAAATAAACTAAGATCTGATGAACTAGTCTAAAGAAAGATCCTAAACATATGCTTTATTTTAGTTCACTGGTCTATTGGAGGATCACCTACTGATACTCCTGAGGTCAGCATTCCTTACAGTATTTTAACTCTCAATATTTCATGGGTATTACTATACAACCAATTAAAAAGTAATGATTTTCATATCTCTCTCGACTACATTTCTTATATTTTTCTTCTCTCCATATTTGCCACCTGGGAACCTTTTTTAAATTGATATCCATAGTAAAGTTCATTACCAATAATAGTTTTCAGTAAATACTTTTAGCTCCCTCCCCCTCTTCATTACAGTTGGGCTAATTTATACATTTAAGTTTGGATTTACTAAATTAACATATCATAAACTCTTATAGCTTCCAGTATGTTTGTGTTTGCTAAGTATACTACAAATCTGAAGCACTAATTTCTATTTTTCTGGTCTGTTAATTTAAAATATGAACAAGCACAGTAACCCAGGTCCCAGATGCAGGTTTCTCATGGTCTTCTATGTTGTACACTTTAATGCTGATGCAACGCTGCACTTTGGGAAAAAAATGAGGTTTGTAAAACAGTGTAGTATCACAGTATCACAGAATTTTCATATAAAGTAATATTTGTATTGGGAAAGACATCAGATTCTCTGATGGGAAAGATCTTTCTATAAAGTGGTAGAAATGGGAAATTTGAACATATATTTTCAACATTTTCAACTTTAAGTCCATGCTTAAATATTTTGCAGGATTATGCAAATCTCTTAGAGGTCTAAACTTTAAAGGATGTGTACCTCTTTGTCTCCTATCCTCTGCAAGGCATCACCTAGATGAAAATAAAAGCGTCCATCATCTGTGCCAGGGTCACCAGACTCTAGTCCTTCCTAAAGAAAGGATAAGAAGAAATCCAGTGTATTTTTTAAAAATAGTTTTTCTGATTGCTGTAAATAAGCTGCCAATTCTATGTCAGAGTTAAACTATAAAACTGGCTATAAAATATAACTACCATGGTAACCTGAAACTTAGTTTGAATGAATAAAATACCTCAGTCAAAAAGTCTTTGAGAAACGGTATCTTTTTTCAGATCCCATGTCCTCTCATTGCAAGGCAGTTGTATGTGCATRCCTCATATGCACACCACCCCATGTTCCACTGGGTATCCAAGCATTTTTAGAGAGCATTTTTAGATACTGCAAATTAGGGCTTCAGTGTTTAGGAATTGAAGAATCTCAATGTACAAACTCGTTCCAGTTCATTGGTGGTGGTGTAAGAATATAATTCCAATACATTTCCAGTATGTAATTTAAGCTGTGATTTGGTATTAGCTTCTAGCTTGATACTTGCTACCATAATTTTATACATCCTGATACTCGTTTTCTATTAGGAAAAGATATACTTGAATTCAGAACAATACCTTTAGATAGGGAATGCTTTCTGCTATCTTGTTTTCTGCCTTCAGGATGAAGCCATAATGTACTTTGGCAAAGCCATCATTTGGAGCAAGGCTTAGAACCTGTAGGACAGTAAATGAATTACATATTAATGCATGGATCTACTTTCAAAATGCAACTGTTCAGGGCAAATTAACAATCTGTATACATATTTGTTACGCAGCGATTCCATGCAATTTCCTCCTATCACTAGTTTTTAGATAAATGCTTGGCTTGGCTGCACTTTTCCTCATTTGCTTTTGTTTCTCTTTAGAACAACCTAAACTTCCAAGTTTCAAAAATAAAATTAACATATCTGGAATCTGCCAGCTGCATTACTTTTCTCTTGTCCCTCTTCTTCCACCATCTCTCTGGTGTGACAGTATGCTCCACTGAGGAACTGAAGGTCTTACTAACACTTCAGTTACACAGCGTAGACGTGAATAATTTGAAAGAAAGAAGCGTTTCTCTGAAGAAGTCTACAGCATAGTCATGGGAACTGGCATGTAGAAATACATCTATGATACATTAACATTAAATAGGTTTATACTAGTGACAAACCAATTTTGGTAACAGAGAATACACCATGTTGAGAAGCACTGTGACTGCAGTTTAGAAAAATGTTGTAAGGAAGCCTTGTGGCATCACAGGGCAGAACAGCACAAATTCTAGCAGAACAATGGGCGTATCTCATGGTTCTCACACTAGAAGATGGACAAATTATAACTGTATATCTGGGTTGTGCACCTTTTTGATAGGCCAAGACATAGGGTACTAAACTAAGCTAAAAATGTGTATTTTTAACAGGATTTAAAAGTAGTGTCTAAAACSCAACTTATTTCTGCAAGACAGAAAATCCCATATGCAAAAGAGAAGTCAAATCTTACTTAGGCACAGATGGATACTTCCGGGAGACTGTGCCAGGGCAGTTTGAGGGMAGCTGTAGGAGGGAATCACTGTGTGGGAAATGTTTCGGCTAAAGGTGACACTAGTTGGCCTCCATTCTGAAACAGGTACCCCCAACACTACCGGGATAATTTATGTGCATAGAGAATGTCTTCATCTACTAGAAATCTAACATTTATATGATTTAATATTATTTGTAGCACTATGCAATACAAATTACACAGCCAAGMTAATCCGTTGGATACATATCCTCTTTCTTTAAAATAAGGGTAGGCAGATGATCAGGAGGGATTCTTAGCATGTGAAGATCAGCACAGGTGCCTGGAAGTCACTGGTATTAGAGATGCTGATACTGGCTGAGAGTCTACCACAATCAGCAAATACAAGACAGCAAGTATTATTTTCTCCAAATATATTCCTGACATTACTAAATCTATACCATGCATACAATGTCAATATACATTATAGCATTCTATCTCTGTCTTTTCCAGTCAGTGTCTATATTTATTCCTCAATGTAGTTAAGAGTAAAACCATAACAAGTCTCCTGGGCCAATTTCTCTTCTTTTTCAAGCCTTACATACAGAATTCCACACATCACTGCAATGCTACAAGCTAAAATAGCAGCACTGAATTTCTTTTAGCAGGTAGAAGCTCCTATTGAAAGAACAACGAAGTTGAGAATCTACTGTTAAGCCAATAAAATGCCAACATTAGCAAAAAGTGAACTTGGCAATGTATAGTAACAATGTACTTGATCACTAAGAGAAGAAAATATGTACTTGATCACGAAGAGAAGAAAATATGGCACTACCTTATTCATATTTTTATATGCTTTTTGGCTATGTCATTTGATGGGTTATTGGGATTTGATACATAATAATTTTTTTCAAAGAATCTGTACATGCAGGGTCAAATAAAATGACTGACAGAAATATTTACTATCCATATACTTTTGTTACAATTCCTTTACCTATAGGACAAACATATCTAATTAATTAAGACAGAATAGAATTTCTTGTCTCACAGTTCATTTAAACTACACTGACTTGCATTAAGGCACGATCTACATTCAGAGCCCCTAAAGAGAAGTGAAGAGATACAATCAGTAGAACTTACACTGGAAGTATTTAATGTAAATTGTATTACTCTGTTGCTGTTGCCGCATACAATATTAATTATGTTTAGAAAAAAAGTTTTACTAAACTGTTCATAGCCCATTAAATATTAATCATGAATATAGAAATTAACCTCTGGGGCTATCTATGGCTAATTAGCCAGGGCAGAGTACTATTCTAATGTGGCTCTCTTGCTGCTTGTACCTGAGATAGTTCAACCAGGGCTGGCTTATATGAGAGTGTACAATGTTGCATTAAGTCATTTAGGCAGAACGGCAGGTATAAAAAGTGGTATAAGTACACTTACTATCCAAATGAAGATCTCTTCCATAAAATTTTACCATAGCATGTAGGTCTTTGAAAATAAAAGTAGCTATATTTCAGTTAGGACTACTTTTCACACTATGCTTCTCTAAGTAAAATACTCAAAAGAAAGAACTTAAATATTAGGAAAAAATGAAATCATCTCAAATGGACACAGTGCAGTAGAGTCTGGTAAATATACACTAGAAAATAGACTATATTTTGAATCAGATTACACTACACTACAGATSTAAAAATAAAATTCTCTTGATCTGCAGTTCAGTGTTCAGACACCATTTCTGCAACTAAAAGAAAGAACTTTTTACAGTAAAGATTTTTGAAATAAAAAATTAATTATAACTGCTTATTAGATGGTAGAAAGTAAAAAGTCTCCATTTACTAGGACCCACATATTATACCATCTTATCTGCAACCGCTATGGATACTAGCAGTGTTCAAACTTGTCAAAACGGGCATAATCTCAATCCTCTGAATGGCCACTTCTAAAAGGAAAATTTCTCAGAGTTGAAATAAGTTAAAATAAATATTTTAAAATAATTTAAAATAATTATTTTAAAAAAAGTAAAAAAAAAGAAACAATATACATAGTTCTCCATACATGGGTAATGAATGTAAGGTGTAGTTACTATTGTTTGTCTCTCGTCATTTCCAGTGATATTATTATTATTATTATTATTATTATTACAGTAAACAGAGAAATTCAAAACTACAGTCTTCTGAGAGAAGAAAATTAGCGACTGCAGTCAAGCCAAAATATTATGTTTCTGGAACAGAAAGATAAGGAAAAAAAACACAGACATGCAACTTGCTTAACTACTGAAAAGTTAAAATAGGCCATTCTCTGAATGAACATATTCAAGTAAAGCATGTTTTTCCCAGCTGGAATGAGAGCTCACCTCTTCATATACTTTCTTGGCATTGCTATTATCTCCCATCAAGAGGTAACCAACTCCAAGGTCATTCTTGAAGGAAGTATCACTGGGGAARAGCTGAACTAATTTCTGCAGAGTAACCAGAGAACCTCTCATGCGACCTAGATAAAGATATGGATATGAGTAACAATAATAACTCACATAACATGCTTATCTGGTACACAGTCTACGAAAACACAAATTACACCCAGATATTTCACCTTCACTAATGATCACTGTTCATGCAGAACCTGAGAATAAATTTATGCAAATAGGAGAATATTTAACTGCTAAAATATCACATGAGGTGTAGTCTTACGAGGAATACTTCAGGAAATCACTAAGAATATATATCAAGCAGTGTTATGGGAGCCTCTAGTGGAAAATTGTTCACAGTGTAGCAGAAACAACAAATATTTTTTAAACTTTGGTTGCTCTTTCATTTGTAGATGTGAGATTGCTCAATAAAAACAGTAACACTTTAAAATAAACTCAGTTCTCAATTAATTGAAGTCATTAAGCACACTGTTACAACTAGGAAATATTATATACTTAAAATTATGTACATTGACAAGGTCTTGCTGAAACATAGTAAAGTCAAAACAAGCTGATCTTAAAATCCAGTTCATGTATTAGAACTCTTTTCAACACCTCACTTAGCTGTGTTTCCATATAGCAATCACAACTCTTGTACATCTCAGGACTGAGATTTAAATCTTCAAATATTTCCATTACTTTTTAGTGCTCTGTTTTTAGCTTTGTTTTAAGCCTTCCTACTGTGGCTTAAAGGCAGTGGTATAAGTTAAGTATAGGAACTGATGTATATACAGCAGCTTAAGAAAATTATGAAGTTCACCTATCAGTTTAACAGACACATTTGGAAAAGCAAAGGACAAGATAAACACAAGAGTTGCGTAAAGGGCCAGTATATCAGTGCCTCAAAAGATTGTTCCCTGAACTAATGAATATAGGTCTGCAGTTAAGTGACTGTCTGCCTTTTTATTATTATTATTCAAATAAATCTATTGGCTGGTTATTTGTCTATTTTATTTATTTATTTATTTATTTATTTATTTATTTTTAAATAGGATCAAGAACATTAGTTGAATGGTTACAGGATGCTCTGCAATTCATGTAGCTATCTTAGGCTTATGTCTAGTGGCTACCAAAGTTGTTTTTATTGTTAACTCAGTCTGGAAGAGAATGGAATAAATTCAGCTAATCAAACAAATAACATTGATAGAAAATTACAAGTAATATCAAATATGTGGTTTCTTCTGATAAAGGCATACTTTGAAATTACAATTTTATAACAGTATGTTAACAGCTTTCACATATATTTTATAAAACATTTACTATATGTGCATTTTTATGCTCTATATTATGTATACATCTTTACAAAAATAAAGCTTTCTAAACCATCAACAACACAACGAAAACCTTGCAAGATGAAACATTAACCCCTAAGTTCAATTCCATTCTATTCTGACCTTATATAGGACATTAATATCCCCATAAGCCTGGTTCGGTCAAAAAAAAAAAAAAAAAAAAAAAATCCCGCTTGTCTGTCAAAACAGACTTTTTTGGAGCATCTTCAACCATAGTTACTCATAGGAGGTTCTGCGTAATTATCTGAAGGCTCATTCAGAATTGTCATTCAGAATTGTCATTAAATATCAGTTTGACAGTAGCTTAGAAAAAAAATCTTCATAGGTCTTTAAGAAATTTGAAATACTCTTCTGAAAATTCAAGATGCTTTTAAATTGTTACTGATCTTCAAAAGTCTTACTCACACATCTTTTGCAATGTTTAGCCCGGGCTCAGATCTTACCAAGAAACTGCTGCCTGTCTGCTTCTCGTTTCAAGCTCAGCTTCATCAGATCTGAAGGCACATTTGGTAGACTAGCCACCTCATCATAGGTGTTGATGGCTTGTTGCAACATCTCATTACTCCGCATTTTCTCAGCTAAGTCATCTTCAGACTAGGTGGAATCATAAAATTATTATTAGAACACATAATAAGCTACTGTTTGGAAATWATCTTATTTTCTCTTATGGAAAACTTTGTAATGTTTTATACATAGGATTATTTTCAAATTATCTTTAATCTTTACAGTATTGAAAGAACAAGGAAAGGTTAGTTGGTTGTGCTTTATGAAAAGATGGCTGATTCTTGTTCTCTGCAAACTGAGAGCATAAATATGAGAAAACTTGTATCCAAAACATATAGCATCAGTAGCAGTACAAACATTAACAAAYATTTTTGGGCAAAATTTGTGCGAGTAAGAATTTATGCTTTATAAAATTAAAGAAATCTCTTTCATAATATGCATAAAAAAGAGTTACTATGCATTATTTTTATACCTACTCTTATACCCGTAGCAAGATGTAAATCTAAACACATCAACATTTTTTTTTCTGATATTCAGGCACAATTTTGCACAAAAACTTTCCTGAGCCAGATACTGGCTTTACTATTACATACATAATGCTTCAAGAATTTTAATTCATTCATCAAGTTCAAGAGCAGAGACCAAATAAAGTATAAGATCTCGGCTGTGAAATTACAGATTCAGTGAACCAAGTAGCAACTGATCTCATCAGTAGTAATACACAATGGTCAATTTAAATTCATTGTTTTGACAATTATATACACAGTAGTTGTAAACATGTAGCCAGCTGTTAACATCTGGAACCCCTGAACCTCTTTGCAATTCTGCTCTCCCTTTCTCCCCCACCACGATTCTCAATATTCAGTGATGTGTTCTGCTGTTTTGAAATTAARTATGGAAAATATCCAACAGTATATTTATTCAGCCCTGATGGGCTGAGGTCAACTGCAAGCCAAGGGTCAGTATGTGAATTTCAGAGATAAATTCAGAAATCAATTTTAAAAGGTTATTTATTTTTCAGATTAATATTCACTAGTAAGTTTGCTTTTCCCATTTTCGATGAAGTTGCAGGGTAGAGGATAGTAAGAGACATATAAGAAAGAGACAAAAAAATCAGAATAAGATCTGATTAATTTCACCAATATAGATGCTACAAATTATATCTTAACCATAAAGAAAAGATATTTCTGTCTACTGTTCTTACACTTAAAGATGCTATTTCTGTTGAATATCTTTGATATGTAAGTACAGCTCCAGAATTCAAATTGGGAACTCCTGAGATTTTGAAAAAAAATCTCTTGCAGAATTTTGGAGAAAACAGTAGCCTTTTAAAGTTAGTTACAGATCAATAAAATCAATCGTCACATCTTAATAAACATAGAATCTACAAAATTAACATGCAATGCTGGCTTGCACTTCATAGAGAAGGGGAGCAAACACTCTTGTGGTAAAATTCTGAATTTTCACCTTACCCCTCTCTTACCCCTCATTGATAGTGATGAGAATGCACTTTATCTTTTGTAAAATATTTTTTCAATATTTCTTTAAAAGGAAAAGTTTCTTACAAYGTAAATCTTAATCCTTCTGTCAGTGAATTTCCCATTCCTTTCAAACAGCTTCATCTAAGCCACACTGGATTCAATAAAAGTGCCATCAGTCATTAACGTGGCTGTTCAGTAAAAAGTATCATACTAACCAGAGTGTACAAAGAACACTGAAAATGGAAATGAATTTACAGCTTTTTTTTTTTAATCTATATTCCCATATAGATTAAGTATATGCAAATTATGACTTTTAAGCATTGCTAAGGTGGTATATAGTAGTTACAGATTACTGCAAAGCAGCAAGTTGTGTCACTGGTAAGAATTCTGACTGGCAAAAAGCATAGCTTCAGTTATTTGCCTTCCTCCCTAAAAGATGTGAGCTAATGAAGAGACAAGAAGAGTATTCTCTTATATTTAATCATGGATCCCTGGGAGAAGTAAATATTAAATACRTAATTTAAAAGAAAACTGTATCCATACATGTAACACAAAACTGTAACATATATGYGAAGTTAGGTATTCTGCTAGTGTAAGAGGCAGAGAGTTCAGCAGGCTATCCCTTGCACACAGCATTAAAGGATCAGCCTACTGTGTATCAAGAGCTTTTGTGGTAAGTTTTCAGATAACTGTGGCTGTGATTTTAGCATGTCTACTATCAAACAAGWGCAAATTGCTTGTAACTCCTATCCAAATGCCTTACTAATTGCATAACAACACAATTCCCCTGCTCTGTGAAGATTTCACTTTGCTCATCTTGATTAACATGAGTTCAAACAGGCTYTTATTACAAATAGTTGAGTGGGATAATCCTACCATTTATAAAAATACAAGGCCTATCTTCTTCTGAGACACTGCAAAATGGCATAAATTATTATGAACATAGGGTTTATTTTCCAATGCTTTCTTTTTCTAGAGGGCAAGATCTATAACAGAAAAACTTACTCCAGAAGCAAAAGAACTAATTAAGCTTCCTTGACTACAAATTTGTGGGGTTTAACCTTTAACAGTCTCCCTATAAAAACTGAAAATCTCTTTCCTTTCCTGCATGCCTCTTGATATTCCTCACTAAGCAAAAAGCAGTAGTTAGCCCAGAGCAGACTGATGTGTGTTGCTTTGCCAGTTGCAGCAACCAGCAGGCAGTGACTAAGTTCTGCCTGTCATTCCTGCAGGAGAACATCAGCTGAGTTTTCTCTCTTCCCATTCGCCGTTTTCATGAGAACTATAGAGGCTATACATCTTTTTGTGTTATTTACTCTTCATGTCTCTAGACTAAAGCTAKAGTAAGGCAAGACAAAGTACCTAAGGAAGTAAGGACAACAGAAACGGATACAATTTCACAGATAACATAAACCATTTGTTTTTTAAGAAAATGTCTGCAAAATTATAAATGAAGTCTGTGTCTATAATTTTACTGTTACCACATGTTTACCTTATTTATTTTATTTTAAAATTTGTTACTTTTTTGAGTACCTGTGCTTTTCCATATCTTGCTCGAGGACTCTGTGGGTACTGATTCACTAATGCTTCAAAGGCCCTTAAAGCCTCTTCAACTTTTCCCTGGAAGACAGAGGTTTTATTTGCATGAAAATGACATATTATAAGATTAKTTTCTTCTAATTAAAAACCAAAATATAAAACAGATTGCAAATCGACAGATTTCACTTTCATTTTTGTTTAGTTTCGCTGCTTATTTGTGAGAAATTTATTGTGACTTGTCATAAAACAATACATCCACTTCCTATGTTTAAAATTAATAGTTTTGGCTTTCTTTTACTGACATTTCCTTTGTTGACTATACAAAAAAAAAAAAAAAAAATACTGAGATGACTATCACTTTACTATACCAAAATGCACAGTAGAGACTACAGAGATATTACAATAAAATGGAAAGTAGCATACAGAACAATAATAAAGCTCTATACATAACTGGAAGTTTCATCTCTGCATATGACTCACTGTATTGTAACTGTGACTCTTGGAGGGAAAGTAGTACTGAACCATTTGTAAGCATATGAATTTTTCCCTGAATTTTCAGAATAATTCTTATRTCACTCAGACCTCCACATGTTGTCTGCATCTCTTTCCTTGTCCATACAAAGTCAGAAAGTACCTTATGATTGACACTCATGATTGATACTGATTTGYAAACAAGAATGGAAGCTGAGAAGAAACAGCAGCTCTATAAAATAGGAGCTAAGTGCCACTCTATAACACTTGGCATCCGATCCTGCAGCCACATCCAGCACTTACAGCTGTATAAATATGAGTCAGTTATTATACACAACTATCTTGCAAGCTTCAAATAAATATTACATGCATCTGGTTTGCTACTAAGCTTATCCTACTTCCTACAAGAAACTCCTACATGATTGTTTGCAGTTCAGCAAGGGATATGGATGGAAAATCAGACTGCTGAAGCTCTGGGACCATCAGAATTTTCTGCTATGTCTCAGTATGATGAACCAATTATTTAAGTAGCAGTAAGTACCAAAATGCATTTTCTACCACATAAAAAAAAAAGGCTTCTAAAGAAAAAGAGCAACAGAAACAGACTAAGACAAGCCTAGACCTATAGAAACTCTGAGGCTGTATAGGCAGCAATATAAACCTAAATATGCACAGTCAAAAATCTTCTAAAAATTAAGAAAATATGAAAAATGCTACATCTGCAGAGATGAAAACATTCAGAACATGCAAAACTTACTTTTTTACGTAATTTTTCTGCAGCATCTAGTTCAGCTTTAATGGTCTTATCAAACTTGTTTAAGAGCTTTGGCTTCTTCTTCTTTTTAGCTAGGAAAGATTTAAACACACACATTTCATTACTTTCTTTTTCATATTCCACAGCAATTGCTTGAAATAGGTTTTAACTACAGATCAGTAATGTACTGGTAACAGGTATGATTTTCCTGCAAGGCAGTTTCAAAATAAACCAGAAAGAAATTGATTTCCTATTTATTCATTACTGTCACAAAATYTTATGGTAAAAAGTAATGTTCAATTCTGCATTTGAGTAACTTTGCASAGGAGTTTTTGATCATGGGTTTTTCATCTTGTATATTTAAAGATTTTTTTTTCAGCTGTCAGTCATCTAAATGATTCATTAGACAGTGAAGAACTATGTTATTTTTCCACATTTATAAGACTGTTGTGAATAACATTACTACCAGGAAATGTTATTCATTTCTAAAGCTGTGCGTAGACACATTCATGCCTGTTGTGTATGAAAAAAAGAAAAAAAAAAGTTCAAAGAATCATCGTTTTTTTCAGGGTGAAAGGGACTTAATCCAGCATCTAATCCAACTTCCTGCTCAAAGTAGGTTCAACAGGGAATTTGCAGGTTAAGATCCTTTTAYGTGATCAAGCTTCAGTAGCTTAAGCAAGTTATCACACATGAGCAGGGCCATAGCAGTATGTAGCAAATTTTGAATTAAGTKGTGGAATGCAAATTGTGTTTGAAGCAAATTGAATTGCGTCAATTTAAACAGCTATTTACTTTATAGCAATCACTCAAACTATCTCTGTATAGTTGCATTAAGTGTATTACATGCAAGAAATATCAGGAGGCACTTAAAAAGAATTTAACAGCAGGAAACCTCTTTTCTCTACATGTCTTGTAGGCAAATTTTGCTTTTGCACTTCCTTTAAAATAGAGATTCCTTGATACAAATAACTACATGTTATGTATATTTGTAATTAAAAGCAGGTATTTTGTTTAAAGTTAGGCATTATTTTTTTTCCCTCTCTTGTCAGTAAGTCAGTAATAGAATAAAAAGAATCAAAACTATTTATTTCTATGTAAGAATTTCAACAGAAAAAGCCATGATTGATTTATGTTAAGCTAAACCCAAACATCATTCTTCTTCCTTTGCCTTCAAGGGAAGATGAGATCTAGTGCACTCAGCTTAATACCACAATATTGCTATAATGCTGTAATAAGTATATTTGATATCCTTCATAAGGAATTGTAATTAGTCATATTTTATTTTGCTTCCAAGGCTGTCAGGTTCATCATTTARCAACACCAAGACTAGCCACATGCTGCTAGAAGCTGTGCTCATGATTTATTAAATAACACCTTCCCCTCACCAARACCCTGATCTTGGTCTAAGCTTTAGGCATACAAATAATTTATCTAGGGGGATCCTGAGGGAAAGATTGAGCCACAGTTAATACTAAAGCAACAYGAAGCCAGCCCAAGCATTACAGTGTCTCACTCTAGAGTTTCAACTGTTTTTGTATGAGATAAAAAGTCTTAAACAGAAAGAACCARAGATGCACAAAAGTTTTATTGTCATGTCCAAAACTGAACTCAGACAATTTGAATATACCTTGCATTTCCTTTACAAACTATCCTGCAGCTTTGGTAGGTACAGTCAAAGAGATGATATTGCTTTTCGGGGGAGGAAGATAGAATTTTAAGCAGTGGTTAAAGCAATTCCAGTAAATCCTATTTACTTATTCATAAAAGTCTTAAGAAGCTTTGAATATAAAAATCTCTTAAGACCTTTAAATGAAAGGTACTACAGAAGCACTACATTATTATTATATTCCTACTGACCCTCTTTACAATAAAAAAAAWTTWTTTTTTTTTTCCAAACAAAACTTCTGTTTCCAGGAACTTGAAGAATGAACCTTCCAGCTGCACAATGAAATGAAATCTATTAAAACACTATGTTAGTGAACACACTAGTGCTTTGAATAAAACAAAATAGTCTTTAGTATAGAACAATTAGCTCAGAATACAGATGATTCCCAAATCTTTTTTTTTTTTTTTCCCCCATAGAAAATGTAAATGAACTGAATTTATTTCACTCTGTGGCTGGCACTCTGTCTTGCCATGACTTAAATATTAATACTTAATAAGTGGTGAAAGTGATAGACTTATTTTGTTTTCAAGCAGCTTAAAACAATAAAATGATCTCAACTTGGGTTCTGTTCTGAACATTTATATGCTCATGTCCAGTAGAACTCACAGAACTAGCATAAGAGCAAGGATCCATCCATCCTAAGACCTTGCATTTAGAAATCATTAACAGGTAAGTTCTGAAAAGATCTTTTCTGACAAATTGCAGTTTGATCAGTTAATTGCATTCAAAAACTATGCACCTCAGTTTCACAAAACCATTGCTAATTCTGATGCCTGACTTTCTCATAACCAGGTACAAAACAAACTGGTGTCATTGGTCCCAGGGACTGATAACGGGGAAATAAAGTAACTCTGTACGTGAACTTTCCACATAGGTTGAGTTCACAGYTCTTAAGTGCCATGTGTTGTTAGCAGGGAACCTCTGAAGCCTACCAGTCACATGGAGTCCCTAGATAYGGCCTAGGAAGCTTCCAGCTGGACACCACACTCTCCAGCACTAGGTTTGCTTCTGCTGCCTGAAGTTGCACATGCAAGAAATGACACAGAACAGAAAAAACAATTCTCAGTTTCTGTGCCATGAATCAAAATCTGTTTCTAACATCACTCAGTTACTCAGCAACTGTGCTGTTACTAAGACAGGATGGATAACTGTCAGCTTGCTAACTTTCAGAGCTCACAGAAAGACCTACAGTCATTTAGCCCTTCTCCAACTTGTTAAGTACAGCAACAGTGGCACTCCTTTGACGTGGCTCAGCTCCTCTGAGATGATGGAAAGACAGGCTTTCCCACCCACTGAAGAACTCTGACTGCCTGTAGGAGAGTGTTTCTTTTTCACAGTGCCTTYGAGTTTACAAGGAGATGTGACAGAAACAGCTCAGAAGAGCGAATGGAAATCTCAGAAGTCTTTGGCACAAAATTCTAGGACTTCTTTCCCCTCCCTCTGACTTTGATGACATGTTGTTGGAAGAGCCTTTTTGCCAGCCTCCATTAGGAAAAAAAAAAAGTATTATCTTTCCATTTTCAGTGCAACTCTACATCAGCTCTAGACCAGCAGGAGATCAATATGCAAAGCTGAAAAAGAATTGTTAACATAAATATTATTCAGCTGCTAGGCACCAATATAACACTGCAAACATTATATAATGAGCAATTATTTTCATTTGCCCATTTTACTGCTATGCTAAAGGATTCATCGGGGAGCTTTCAGTATAACCATCAAGCATTTCTGTATATTAAATAGATAGCCTGCTATCCCTGCAGGGGTATTTTAATAAATTATACATTGCCTCCTTCTAGTGTAATAATACTTTAGCAGATGTGACCCAATATATTAAAATTGGATGTTACAAAGAAGTTAACTGCTTTGGCTTCAAAGGATTTCTTTTTTCCCCAATAACTTATGAATTTATTTATCTGAAAAAATGCACGGTCACACAACTGTTTGTGAGATTTACAGTTATCTGATTGAGCATTAAAGTGGTAATAATTCTTTTACATGTCATTCTATGGTCTTGCAAGAATAAGACTGAAAATTTTCAATAACGGTTCCCTAGAAGYAAGAGGAGGCTTGTTACCCTCTACCATAAGATGGCTGAAGACTGATTACATAGTGGATGACAAAAGGTTTCTTCAGAGAAGAGAGATGTTCTCCACTGTTAAAACAACAAGCTAGGAAGAAGTGTCGTAGAAAATCACATGCTAGCTCTTTTTATTGAAGAATAAACTTTGGCCAGCAATGACTAACTATCCTGTATTTCCCTTTTGCCTCACGATATGGGAAAAACAATGAGAAGGAAATTAYTTTGGAAGTGGCAATGTATCAAAGATGCCATAAACTAAATATTCTGCAATGTGATCAAACAAATCACAACTCCAGGAGGTTGTGGAGTCTCCTTCTCTGGAGGTCGTCAAAACCTGCCTTGATGCCACCCTGTGCCACATGCTCTAGGTGTGCCTGCTTGAGCGGGAAGGTTGGACAAGATGATCTCTAGAGGTCCCTTCCAACCTTGAATATTCTGTGATTCTGTAATTCTGTGACAACAAAATACATATTTTATATGCCTATTTTGCCACACAGAAACTAAAATACCCACGTATTTTGTGCTTTTTATGATGAAAGGGACCTTATCATCACCAACAGTTGTGATAGTCTTTTTCTATAAAGCAGAGAAGTATCAGTTGAAAAATAATGAATGCATTTCTAGATACTCAAGATCAAAGATGCATAAAGTGATAAGTAATCAATTGAATAAAAGTTGATGATATTTCTCACTTCTGAAGGACTTTTTAAAAATATTTTTGTCTTGAATTGTCTGAGGAACCAACTCTCCRCACCTGTACAAGCAGAAATGAATGGGAAAAAGGTAAGAGTAAAGTGTTTACATAAAACTACATAAAAAGAAGCTACAGAAATGGAAATAATACGTTCTTTCTATCACCATAGTTAGGTCAAGGAATGAAAGGCTTAAAATTGGTACAAGAAAAAAGAAATGGCTTGATCATCTGAAAAGAGTATCTAGGGATACTGTAGAAGAGACTGCTGAGGGCAGCTGTGAAATCCTTATTACTAGAAGATYTTAAGAACATGTCGTAAAATCATCTGCCAGGAAGGATATGTAGTTGATAAGGTTTTTGGCCAGCAACATAACCTAAATAAACACTCGGGGTCCCACCTGGTCCTACAATTGTTTCTAGAATTCCTATAATACATTTATACACCTCAGGGCACCCTGATGTCAAAGTTATAATTAAGCAAGCAAGCTCCATTCATTTCTTAATAAAAGGAAATTTTTCCAAGAAGGTCCTCGTACTAGTTGCTAATAGCTTTGTGCCAATAAAAGAATACTGAATTTCAAAAATTTAAATGGATAAATACCAGTTTCCTTGACTTCTCTAGCAAGCATTAAGCACACACGCTTTTATG